TGTGTGTGTTTCTCTCACTAGTGACCATGCTCCTGTACACCACGTGGAGGGATGCTGTCACAGGAAGGACACATATTTACCACTCCAGCCCCAAAACTCTTGTTATTCCCAGCCACTGTTGCCGCTTTTCAATGAGCCTCCCGGCCCCCCTTCCCCCCAGTTCCCCCCCCCCCATCTTGCCTTTTTTTTGTGGGAAGCGCAGATGGCTTTAGGAATAAGGGGGCCGAAAAAAGAGGCAGACAGAGGGGCGATTGGGGAGCGGCGGAATTTGGCGGATGGGGAGGTGGGAGGGTCCTTTTGTGATGAAATGTTGCATAAATAATGGCGAGGGGGGGTTGAATTCTCCGTTGCCATGGAGACCTTTGTGCCTGGCTGAACTCCTATTCTTCAGCGCTGCGAGGCTGCCACTAGTCAGGCTTGCGGTTCCTCTAACCGCTCCGAGAATCATTACTGCGGAGAACGCCGAAGGGAAGCATGCTGAAGCTCCAGACGCCCTGCCTCTCCAAACCTGCGTGTCACCCGGAGCATGGTCCATGCGCAGGTAACCGACGGGGATCGGGGTCCATGCGCAGGTAACCGACGGGGATCGGGGTCCATGCGCAGGTANCAGGTAACCGACGGGGATCGGGGTCCATGCGCAGGTAACCGACGGGGATCGGGGTCCAAGCTCAGGTAACCGACGGGGATCGGGGTCCAAGCGCAGGTAACCGATGGGGATCGGGGGCTAGGGAACAGGTGTTCCTACCACAGGGCAGTGTGGAAAGGCGTCTCTGGTTTCCACGGCTCTGAGCTGGCCGCCCTCTGGAAGTTCTGCACTTTACAGCTCAGCTTCAACTTTGTGGCTGTGGCCGTCATCTGTGAAATTGTGCTCCCTGCACAGTGGTGTGAGTTACGTCTCGGTGCTGAGGCGTTGGCCGGTTTGCTCTGGAAATCCTCGCTCTGTTCCTGATAATTCTGAAGAGACGTGCAGCGACAGGTCGTCAGTGTGTTCAGTCTGGCAGCCTCCTTCCATTTCAGTTCTGCTCGTCCCGGCAGAGCAGAGAGTGCCGTTTCTGTTGCCGGGTGGGGGATCTGCCCGCGAGATTGCCGTCGCCTGTATTTGGTCAGAAAGGCACCAGCCGTTCTTCTGCCTGCCGGGCCGGCTTCATTACGAACGGGACCCAGAGGCGACCTGCGCGGATTCTTCATTCCCCAAGTTGAACTTAATCTGTCTGTGTTGTAGTCCAGTGACTCTGTGTTCCAGGCTGGGGACTTTGCTAGCAATATGGAGCTGGGCAGGCGAGTTTGGGGGCTGGCCCCCATTACCCCCCCGACCTTGTGTCTGCGTCAAGCTGACTGATTGCTGCCCTTGCGCTCAGTAGAATCTCGTGCGATGCCCATGTTAATTTCATAGTAAATGTCTAGCGATTCTCGCCTCAAGGAGTCTCAGAATGACACCTGTCGGCTCTGTTGATGCCAAAGAGAATCAATTTAACAGCTTTCCAGAATAACTAAATGTGACACACGTAAATGTTCATGCTAAATATGGGAGGTTCATGCTAAATATGGGAGGTTCATGATAAATATGGGAGGTTCATGCTAAATATGGGAGGTTCATGATAAATATGGGAGGTTCATGCTCAATATGGGAGGTTCATGCTCAATATGGGAGGTTCATGCTCAATATGGGAGGTTCATGCTCAATATGGGAGGTCGCTTAAGAATACAAATATTTGAAATGATCATGCAGTACTGAACCATCTGCTAAAGAAAATTAATGCAAATGTGAATTTGAATAAAAAGTCAAGTAAAAAGGGTGGGACATCATGATCTCACTTAGCTTGAGTAATACAGGTAAATGGCTCAATAAAAAAAATGACTCAGTGGTGTAATGACTGTCCTGGGGGGTACAGCCTGTGTGAAAACATTTAAAATGGACTTATCTGGTCTTTGTTAACACTTTTTGTCACCCAAGATAATGTTAAAAAGTCTCTGGGTGAAGTTTTAGGCTGCGGTAACTCCCCCAGACCCAGACCGGGATGAGCGGTTAAAAGATGGGTAGATGGATAAAAGTTCATTGTGAAAACTGGGGGCTGTGAAGTGATCCTACAGATTTCGAGGCGCGCTCTCCTGTGGAGCTGCCATCATGGTGACGCCGGGCTGAAACCCCTGTAACCCAGGCCCCTAGGAGAGAGAGAGTGCGTGTGAGTTGGCAGTAAGGTGAGAACCCCTCCCCCCTCAATACACGCCCAGAGGTCCTGACCTTGTGGAGATTTTCTCCTGACTGTTGCTGTAATTGTGCCACTGAGTATCCTTGACTCTGTGCCTGTACTGCTGAGTATCTTCGATGTGCTGATCTGGTGCTTGTGCTGCTAAGTATCCCCGATGCCTGTGCTGCTGAGTATCCCTGATCCGGTGCCTGTGCTGCTGAGTATCCCTGATCCGGTGCCTGTGCTGCTAAGTATTCCTGACCCAGCGCCTGTGCTGCTGAATATCCCTGACCTAGTGCAGTGCCTGTGCCACTGAGTATCACCGACATGCTGACCCAGTACCTGTGCTGCTGAGTATCCCCGACGAGCTGACCCGGCGTCTGTGCTGTTAAATTTTCCTGACCCAGCGCCTGTGCTGCTAAATATCCCTGACCTAGTGCAGTGCCTGTGCCACTGAGTATCACCGACATGCTGACCCAGTACCTGTGCTGCTGAGTATCCCCGACGAGCTGACCCAGCGTCTGTGCTGCTAAATATCCCTGACCCAGTGCAGTGCCTGTGCCACTGAGTATCACCGACACGCTGACCCAGTACCTGTGCCGCTGAGTATCCCCAATGCTTTGACCCTGTGCCTGTGCCGCCAAGTATCCCCCACACGCTGAACTGACGCTTATGCCGCTGAGTATTCCCGAAGCGCTGACCCAGCGCCTGTGCTATTGAGTATCCCTGACTGGCAGCTGTGCCGCTGAGTATCTGACACCTGTGCTGCTGAGTGTCTGACACCTGTGCTGCTGAGTGTCACCAACATGTTGACCCAGCACCTGTGCCGCTGAGTGTTTCCGACATACAAACCCGATGCCCGTGCCACCGAGTATCCCCAACATAACGACCTGGCGTCTGTGCTGCTGAGTTTATCCCACACGCTAACCCTGCACCAGTGCTGCTGAGTATCCCTGACACGCTGATCTGGTGCCTGTGCCGCTGAGTATCCCTGACCCTGTACCTGTACCACTGAGTATTCCCTGACGCAGTGATCCGGTGCCTGTGCCGCAGAGTATTCCTGACCCGGTGCCTGTGTTGCTGAGTATCCTTGAAGTGCTGACCTGGTGCCTGTACCACTCAGTATCCCTGATCCGGTGCCTGTGCCACTGAGTATCCCTGAAATGTTGACCTGGTGCCTGTGCTGCTGAGTATCCCTGACCCGGTGCCTGTATCACTGAGTATCCCAGATCCGGTGCCTGTGCTGCTGAGTATCCCTGATCCGGTGCTTGTGCTGCTAAGTATCCCTGATCCGATGCCTGTGCCACTGAGTATCCCTGAAATGTTGACCTGGTGCCTGTGCTGCTGAGTATCCCTAACCCGGTGTCTGTGTTGCTGAGTATTCCTGACCCGGTGCCTGTGCCACTGAGTATCCCTGACCCGGTGTCTGTGCTGCTGAGTATCCCTGACCCGGTGTCTGTGCTGCTGAGTATCCCCGATGCACTGACCCGGCGCCTGTGCCTCTGAATATCCCTGACGCACTGACCCGGCGCCTGTGCTGTACTTTGCATGCAGGAGCTGCAGTTTGAGCGCCTGACGAGGGAGCTGGAGGCGGAGCGGCAGATTGTGGCCAGCCAGCTGGAGCGATGCAAGCTGGGCTCTGAGACTGGCAGCATGAGCAGTATTAGGTGGGTACAGCACGTGTGTGTGTGCGTGTTTGTGTGAGTGTGCATGTATGTGTGTGTGTACACATGTGCATGTTTGTGTGTGCATGTGAAGATGTGTATGTGTACGCATGAACATGTGCACTCGGATGGAGCGTCTCTTCTGAGGGCGCGGTGGGGTGCCCATGCACAGTGGGAGGGTGTGTTGGTGGGTGACTGTTGCCCGGCAACCGGGTCTATGGGAAGACCCCCGGGGGAGCTGGGGTGACCCAAGGTGGTTTTCCAGACACAAAGAGCAGGTTGTCAGTGGTCCCCAGAGAGCCGGGTCGGGGGGGTTGGTGGAGGATTAGGCTTCTGGATGCGCCACACCTGCAGCGTCCCCCCGGCGGTCAGAGCACAGAGGGGGGGGGGGTGCTTTATGGGCAGACAGAAGATTAGCACCAAGTGTCAGCTGTGGGAAGGCGGGGGCGGTGATGACAGGGGTGACACGGAGTGCACTGTGTGTCCCGCCAGCGGCCGCTCTCACACTGCACTCTGCCAGCCCAGATTTACTGCCATGCTGATCAAAACTGAAACGTAAACAGGCCAGGAAATTGGAAATTCATTACGTGGACTAATTACTTGTAATTATCAGTCAGAAATTATTAGGTTATTAAGGCCTTGTTTTGTCTAGCGTTGAGTGAGTGTTGTAAACAGGACTGAACGGCATCGTCACCTGAAAGTGTTTTTTTTTGGCCAGCTTGGGGGAGTGGTGGTAGTTTACAGGGGGTGTATTTTTGTGGGGGATGGGGAGGGGGGGTTCGACAGAGCCACCCTGTGGTATTTCCTTATTCAGTCACTGGCTCCTGCGTGTGACTTGAACTCTGGAAGAGACTTATGCATAAGTAAGGAAACTATTAGCATGGCTTTTTTGATTTCGCATATAAGATGCGTGAGGGATTCCCCTTTGTTGATCTGAGGGGGGAGCGGGGACAGCAGAGCCGATATTCCTGGAACTTCCAGATCCCTCTGGGCCTGTCTGTCAGCGAGGCTGCTAGCAAAGCGAGTTTTCAGCCGGAAGGAGGGATTTTCCACCAGGAAAGAGGAACAAAAATGCATTAAATGTCTCCCTCCACATGGAGGTGCCTTAAAAGCCCTCAGATGGGGGCGGGGGGCTTGACTGCGGGGGTACGGCATGTTGCTGTGAACCTGAGGCTTTGCCGCCTTTCAGGACCTGGGCTGTGGGCCTCATTAACCCTCTGCTCTGTCATTGTGGGGGAGGGACTCTGCAATCCGAGATGCTGCACGGGGGTTAGGGCAAAGCCGCTACACCTCTGCCCATTCCACTCAATTTTTTAGTAGCAAACGCTTAATAAAATGATTCATAATTCATAACAAAACTTAATTTGTGTTGGCTGGAATTATTAAAAATTCACACGCCTGTTATTCATTTACAGTTTCCCTCAGCTTAATAATATGGAGATTGTTCTGGAAACGGTCGTGTCACTAAATGGCTGGGAGGGCTGGCAGGTAACCGGGCCGCAGTGCTTTACACTTAACACAGAAATAATGGCGTTGCCCTCTAGGGGGTGCTCACGCCTCCCTTTTTATGCTTCTGTTCTATATTTCTAATTACCACCGTTAATCTGTTTGCCATGTTGCCCAAAGATGTTCGATTCAGGCTGAAATGTGACTTAACTGGAACGTGGCCAGAATGCTTCCCCAGGAGTTAATCTTGTGCCAGTTTGCCTGCCTAAGTTCCCTCTCCAGGATCCGCGCCACGTTCCCGTCAAATTCCGGGTCCGGTCTCATCATCTGGTGTTCCGCCAAGGGGCAGCCCTGGCTTCCCCCCCCCCCGCCCGCCCCACGTCTGAGCATGCCTGGAAGTCAGAGGAGACCTTGGTTGGGCGGGGTTTCTGTAGCTAACCCCCGCCATGCCAGCTGCGACGTGACCTCGGAGAGACGCTTGTGGCCTTTGGACAGAGGCTCTGCACCCCCCACCCCGGCTTCCGGAAGCCCTCAGAAGTCAGCACAGTGTGTCTTCTAGCAGCCGCTGCTGTGGGGGCCCTCTTCCATCCCGTCACGATGTGTCGAGCCTCCGGTCGGCCATTCTGGGCTGAGACGCAGTCCTGCTAATTAGAAACATCGCCGTCCGTAGTTTTAACCATGTCGGAGTCTGACGCTCCTCGCTCGTGTCTGAAGAGGAGTGAAAATAAGCCGCTGGTTATTTTTACCAGAGTGGCTTTTTATTTGTTTGCCGTAGACATTTCATACCTGTCAGTCCTCCTAGATGGAGTGCGGCGCTGGGCTATGACTCACCCGGCACGCCAGACAGCCGAAATGTCGGCCCGCGCCCCCCAACCCGGGCAGGGGATCACAGGTGACTGGAGCATGCGGGCTGATTGATCGTCGTCCTCTCCAGCATGAATGATTACGTTTTTTTAAGTGGCAGGTCCCCGTGCAGCATGTTGGTGCTTCATGTCAGTAAAATGTACGTTTTATATTTCTAAATGATGCGTTTTGCGTTTAGTTCACGCCACTAGTGCGCTAGGGGAACCGCCGAAACACCTGTAAAGCTGAAGAGTGCCAGGACGATCCGCTCATCCATTCTCCATGACCGCCTTCCAACCGAGGGTCACCATGAGCCAGGGAGCTGTAGTAGGACATTTGCGTGGGGCCCTGGGGTTTGGGAGCCCCTGCTGGCCGCAAATAGTTACTACACTAAATATGAAATAATCCTGTTCCTTACTTAGGAGATGCTGAATCAGCATTTTATGCTAACAAACTAGCTATGTTCCTTTGACTCTACTCACTAGCTATTTTGATTTAGATTTTCAACCATCTTGGGGTGGGGGGAGTGGGTTACCATGTGGGGGGCCGGGGGGGCAGCACAACAAGCAGGCCGGCATTTGGTAGAATTTTCCATTGGCCCAGCCAAGTCTTTGTGTGACACTGCATGCGGCCACCAGTGGTGGAAAAAGTACTCAATTTCCATACTTAAGTACAAGTACAGATACCACCCCAAAAAGTTACTAATTATAGTACTTTACTAAAGTAAATGTCATCCAGTAAAATACTACTCAATTTTTTTTTTTTAGTATGTAAAAAGTACTATAATCTATTGATCTATTGAAAGTTATTTTAAATTTCACCCAAGACACTGATTTGAATGTAGTTTTGAAAATCACAGTGCATCATAATAAGGAAAACTCCAGAGGATAATCGGATCCTTTCTTTATGTTCAGAAAAGGTGGTGAAACAGGCTGGCTTTGCAGGCGCAGATTAGCGAAATGCCTTTTTATTCTGCGGGAAATAACAGATCGATCTATGGGCCAGATTTAATAATGAATTATAAACATTTTGCGGGCCGGTGCTTTGAGACCTCTTAGAAGGGGAGAATGAGCTGACAGAATCCCTTGTCCTGCTCTACGGAGGACGCTGATCGCTCAGTGCAGTCGCCATTATATCAGTGCAGCTCTGGTGCTGCTGACTTTAAATACTGATGAAGTTAAAGTATCGCACAGTAGTCTCGCTATGTTAATTGATATCGTGCATTTCAACATATTGTTTGTTCCATCTTCATATTAGATAGTATGTAATACAAAATAATAATAAAAATAAAGAAAGAAAAATGTTGCTCAATAATCGTGGGAGGAAATTACAATCTCTACTTTGGAAAAAAATGATGATTCACATTCTATCCAGAATTGTGCAGCCCTATTTAGTTGTGCTGCATTTAACAGTATGCGTATATACAGTATCTGTAATTGGGGGAGTAACAAGGGTCGCGCAGAATGTATTAAAAGTAATGCAGTGATGTGGGGTGGCACAGTGGTGCAGTGGCTAGCACTGTCGCCTCACACCTCTGGGACCTAATATTTGTACTTGATTACACCTCTGGCAGCCACACAGTAAGAGACAGGAAGTACACAATCCAGTGTTCTGATTGGCCCTTGGTCAGCTGACCTCCGGCGGCTATGTGGCTGTGGCTGGTGTTCCTGCAGAGAGGTACAGGAGCAGTAAGAACTGCAAAGAGATGCTGAGCAGCCCGTCTCTGCCTCCTCTGCTGATCTCTGTATGGAAAGTGCTTTGGGGGGGGGGGGTGCAACGGAGGTGCTGAGTTTGCTGTCCCCTGATGAAAATGTGTCTCCTGTTGACAGGGTGGCTCTGGCTGAGCACCTGAGCAGATGGTTGATGGTCTTAGACCTTCAGTTTTTTTTCCTGGTCTGTTTGGTCTTTCATTCTTGTTTCTATGGCAGCGCTCATACAAATAGCTAATATCGATATATCCATACCATACACAAATAGCTAATATCGATATATCCATACCATACACAAATAGCTAATATCGATATATCCATACCATACACAAAT